AAGCTGTGGCGAGGAGTAAGGGCCATGACAATTCATTGGAGGGTTGGGGCAGAGAGTCAGGTCTGTGTAAGCTGTGGCGAGGAGTAAGGGCCATGGGAATCCACTGGAGAGTTGGGGCAGGGAGTCAGGTCTGTGTAGGCAAGTGATGATGGGGCCCAGCCCGGTGTGGTGTCCAAGACTGTTGACAGGGGAGTGGATACCTGGTAGACGGTGACCCTGGCACTAAGGTCGGGCTCCATGTGCCGCAGGCCCAACTTGGCCAGGTCCACGGGGTCCTGGGGCAGGTCTCGGGGCACTGGGAAGGGGTTGATGTTCTTGAAGCGGGAGAACCACAGCTTCATGCGCAGGAACTTAAGCATGGGGTAGCTTTTCCGTCCAAATATCTGAATCAGCAGGAACTCCGTCTCCTTGTTGGGCATCACCCCTGTTCAGGCAGACGCAGGCAGAGCCCCAGGAGGGAAGCAGCGGAGGGACAAAGAACAGAGCGAGGGAGATGGAGGAAGAGCGGAGGCAGACGAACAGAGGATGAGACCAAGGATCAGAGGCAGGGAAAAATGAAGTCAGGGATGGGGGCAGAGAGAGGGGGGTAAGGAGAGGAGTCAGAGCCATGGCTGGAGGGAGGGGCCGGCTGCCTGTCACATGAGCCCCGCCCCCTAGATGTAAGCCAGCCTCACCGTGGTTCTCCATCTGCTCCAGGACAGCGACACCACACTCCTGCTGCCGAGGGTAGTGCACGAAGATGTGCTGGATGATGCTGCGTGGCCGGAAGACCTCCTTGGGGAAGATGTCGAGCAGCATGTTGTAGACGGCCAGGTCCCGCTCGACGCCATACTGCCGCATCTTGCGCAAGGCCAGGTAGATGAAGTCCACGTGGCCCCGCTTGCGCACGCTGTGCTGCCTGAAGTTCTGCACGGCCTGCACAAAGCTCGCCTTGTCCCGCTCCCCACTAGGCGCCTGCCCAAACAGCTCCTCGTGGGGTACCAGGGCCTTGATGGGCCTCCTTGAAAGCTCAGGGGGGTCTGGGACCAGCGAAGAGTCAGAGTGGGAGCTGTGGGTGGCTGCACTGCAGTGGAGGCCCCGCAGGACCTGGGAGGCGACCTGGGGACAGAGGAACGCTGCTGGAATCTGGCACCTCCCGGTACCCCTTGGGGGCTACCCGGCTAGCTCTTTCCTAGGAGAGGTGCCAGCAGTCATCCCTGAGGGCAGCCCTGGGGAACTGTGGTTACAAACCCAGGATTAGGCACCACTGCAAAGTGTGATAAAATGCAATGCTGGCACGGCTGTGAGGAAACGGACACTCATCCACTGCTGGTGAGCCCTGGGAAAACCTCCATGGAAGCATTTGGCAATGTTCACCACCATTACAAACACACCTAGAAGCACACAAGTGCCAAGTGGCTTTTGTACAAAGTTATCCACTGCAGCAGTGGAAACAGCCCACATGTCCATCAGCAAGGGAGTGTTGAAACAAATCGCCATGTACCTGGACAAGAACACCGGCAGCTGTAAAACCCACTGAAGAGGCTCTCGCTGTGTGATCTGGAATAAGCTCCAAGGAATATTATTAAATGAAAAAAAAGCAAAGTGTGTAACAATGTGTAGAGTAGGTTCTCACTTGTATAAAAAAGAAATATACATGTTGTTGTGTGCTGTCCAGTTAATTCCGACTCATAGCGCTCAGCTGCTAACCAAAAGGTCGGTGGTTCGAACCTACCAGCCACTCCATAGGAGAAAAGACTTGGCAATCTGTTCCCATAAAGATTTCAGCCTAAGAAACCCTATGGGGAAGTTCTACTCTGTCCTATAGGGTCGCTGTGAGTCAGAATCTACTTGATGGCACATAACATGATAGAGCAGAACTGCCCAATAGGGTTTCCTCGGCTGTAATCTTTACAGAGGAGCCCTGGTTGCCCAATGGTTGGCGCTCAGCTGCTAACCAGAAGGTCAGCAGTTTGAACCCACCAGTGGCCGTGCAGGAGAAAAGACCTGGTGATCTGCTCCCGTAAAAATTACCTAGGCAGTTCTACTCTGTCCTATAGGGTCACTATGAATCAGAATCAACTTGATGGCACACAAAAATAACAGTCTTTACAGGAGCAGATTGCCTAGTCTTTTCTCCCATGGAGCTGCTGCTTGGTTTGAAGTGCTAACCTTTCAGTTAGCAGCTTAACGCTTAACCGTTGCACCACCAGGGTACGCGTGCTCTTTCCCTCTCTCTTTATATATTTTTTTGTATAGGTATAAAATATCTCTGGAAGGAAATACAGTAAGTCATAACATCTTTTGCCTCCAGAGAGAACTAAGTGGTGGCTGGACAGGAGAGGGACAGACTCTTGTCATGGCACAGCCTCAGAACTTTTTGAAATTTGAACTCTATTCCTCACTGTAATTAAGTGTAGTACCTATTCCAAAGGTAAATTAAAAAAAATAAATAAATAAGGAAAACACAGGTTTTGGAATCAGCAGGAGTCTTGGCTTGACTGTTCTATGCCAGGCGATGGCCCACATCCTGCATTGCTCGGGCCTCAGTTTCCCCATCTGTTTTGATGGCGCCTCCCTTGGGTCAAGGAGATCTTGTTGCCCAGAGTGGGCAGCGCATGCTGAACAGAAGTTGGCAAACCATGGCCCATAGGCCAAACCCAGCCAGTTGCCTGCTTTTCTTTTCTTTTTTTTTTTTAATATTTTATTGTACTTCAGGTGAAGGCTTACAGAACAAATAGTTTCTCATAAAAAAGTAGTACACATGTTGTTTTATGACATTGGTTAACAACCCCACAACATATCAACCTTCTAACTTCTCAACCTTTTTTTTTTTTGCCTGCTTTTCTAAATAAAGTTTTATTGGAACACAGCTATGCTCATTCATTGACGTATTGTCTGTGGCTGCTTTAGTGTTACAGTTGCAGAGATGAATAGTTGTGACAGCGGTAGTATGGCCTGCAAAGCCAAAGATATTTACTATTTGACACTTAAAGAAAAAGTTAGCCAACCCCTGTTTTAGATGGTATGTTAACAAACTTCTTATTTTAATTTAAACTGAATGTTTAAATTAGAATGGCTACATATAAGGCATCTTTAAAAACACAGAGCTAATAAAAGCTAACATTTACTGAATACTCTTACCTTCCAGGTACTGCTGAGTACTTTAAAAGCGTAAGACACATTTCATTTTTACAACTGCCATATGAGGGAGTCTTCTAACTGTGCCCATTTTACAGATGAGGAAACCGAGGCCCAGAGCAATAAAGTAGGATGCAGACTGGAGTCTGTGCTCTCAATCCCTCTACTCTGCTGCCTCCAACAGCTCATCTAGATGTACTGTTTAGATAAGGTGGTATTAAAAAAAAAAAAGAGGCGTTGATTTAAAGTGAAATTTTAGGCAACTAATACTACAGAAAGAAGCCCTAGTGGCTGCTAACCAAAAGGTCGGGAGTTTGAACCCACCAGCCACTCCATAGCACAAAGATGTGGTGGTCTGCTTCTATTAAGATTACAGCCTTGGAAACCCTATAGGACAGTTCTACTCTGTCCTATAGGGTTGCTATGAGTTGGAATCGACTCAATGGCAGTGGATTTGGTTTTTTGATTTAATACTACAGGTAGCTGGCACGTAGGACAAAAATTGGAAAGAAGTTCTGGAATGCCCAAAGTAGGGGGAACACGACAAATGAGAAAATGCAAATAAAATGCTTAGCACAGGGCCTGGCACAGAGTAAATGCTCAATATGGAAGCTATTATCATCACCATTGTTATCTACGGCCGTTGATTTGCTTGCACATTCTGGTCACTTTGGATAAGGGAAGAAGTTCAACTTTCTGCCCCCATCTTTAAGCTGGATGTATCACCACCCAAATCCATTTAGCTCATCCTTATTTTCAAATTCAACCTCCTCACCACGGGGGCACCAGCACCTCTTAAGATAAGTTAGGTACCTTCCACCTCAGAGCAGATGGGCCAGCTCAGAGCCCCCAGAGCTGGCTTCACAGGGTGGATTTTGAAGGGGTTGGGAGCAAATCCCAGGACTTCCTCCCCCGACCCCGACCAGGGGAGGTGACCACCTGGCTGGCTGTTACCTGAGAGAAGGGGGCTCCTGTCAGGGTGGGCCCGCAGATGCCTCCCCAGCCTCGAGAGAGACCCCGGGCCAGCAGGATGGCTTGGACCCAGCTCATGATTGCTTGTCAGATGACCACCTGGCCAAGAGAAGAGACGCCATCAGCCTGGCACCCTCACCCACTAACAGAGACAAGACCCCCATATGGGCAGAGGCTACATTCCAGACTGCATGGCTAACTTACCCCAAGAGTCTGGACAAGGCCCAATGTAACTTTCAGTGGCCTTGGTTTCCTCATCCACAAGAAGGGGCTTAGATGACTGCTACAATCAAGGGTCCCTGCTTCTACTGGGCCAAACCCTTCACTATCTTGAGGAATTTGCTTCAGCAATGGTCCCCCTCCCTACTGGATCATTCTATTTTTTGTTTTTTTAAAAAAGCTTTATTCATATACTATACAGTTCACCTTTTTAAAGCGTACAATTCAGTGTTTTTCATGTATTCACAGACTTGTGCAACCATCACAATCTAATTTTAGAACAGTTTTGTTACCCTAGAAAGAAACTCTATACCCATTAGCAGCCACTCTGTTTTCTCCTACCCTCAACTCTAAGCAACCACTAATCTCCTTTCTATAGATTTGCCCTTCTGGGCATTTCATATAAATGGAGTCATATAACACGTGTGCTTTTTTGTCTGGCTTCTTATACTTAATGTAATATTTTCAAGGTTCATCTATGCTGTAGCACGCATAGAACTTCATTTCTTGTTATTGCCAAAAAACTATTCCGTGGTGTGACTTTAACCACATTTTATGTATCCATTCAATTGATGGACATTCTGGTTGTTTCTACATTTTGACTATTATGACTAATGAAGCTATGAACATCCCTGTATAGGTTTTTGGGTGAACAAAATTGCTGGGACATATGGCAATTGTTTAACATTTTGAGGAACCACCAAAGTGTTTTCCACAGTGGCTGTACCATCTTACATGCCCACCAGCATCAGGCTTCCAATTTTTCCCCATCCTCTCCAATACTTGTTATTGTCTGTCTTTTTTATTAGAGCTATCCTAGTGGGTGTGAGGTGGTACCTCATTCTGGTTTGGATTTGCATTTTCCCAGTGATGTTGAGCATTTTTCCTGTGCTTATTGACCATTTGTTTTATCTTCAGTGGAGAAACATCTTTTCAGAGCCTTTGTCAATTTTCAAAAATGTAGGTTCTTTTTTATTATTGAGTTGTAAGGGTTCCGTAGTCTGGACACTAGACCCTAATGATTTGCAAAGTTTCTCCCATTCTGTGTGTTGTCTTTTCACTTTTTGATGGTATTACTTGCAGCACAAAAATTTTAAATTTTGATGAAGTCCAGGTTATCTGTGTTTTCCTTTTGTGGCTATGCTTTTGGTTTTGTATCTAAGAAACCACTGCCTAACCCATAGGGTTTACTCCCACTTTCTTTTAGGAGTTTTATAGTTTCAGTTCTTACATTTAGGTCTGTGATCCATTTTGAGTTAATTTTTTGGGTATGGTGTCAGGAAGAAGTTCCCTTTACTATTTTCCATGTTGATATCCATTTATCCCAGCACCATTTGTTGAAAAGACTCATTTTTCCCCATTTATTATCTTAGCACCCTTACTGAACATTGATCATAAACATATGAATTTATTTCTGGATTCTCAATTCTATTCCACTGGTCTGTATGTTTAGCCTTAAGCCAGTACCACATTGTCTTGTATGCTGCAGCTTTATTAAGTTTTGAAAATGGGGAAGAGTGAGTCCTCCAACTTTGTTCTTCTTTAAGATTATATTGGCTAGTCTGGGTTCCTTGCATTTCCACAGGAATTTTAGGATTAGCTTGTTAATTTCTACAAGAAAGCCAGCTGGGATTCTGATAAGGATTGTGTTGACTCTGTAGATCAATTTGGGGAGTACTGCCATCTTAACAATATTAAATCTTCTGATCCATGAACATAGGATGTGATGTCTCTCCATTTATTGAGATCTTTAATCTCTTTCAATGTTTTGTAGTCTTCAGTGTACAAGTCTTACACTTCTTTTGTTAAATGTATTCGTATTTTGTTTTTTATGGAAGTATTGTAAATGGAATGTTTTCTTAATTTCATTTATGCATTGTTTATTGGCCGTGTATAGAGATACATTTTTATATGTTGATCTTATAATCCTGCAATTTTGCTAAGCTCATTTATTAGTTCTAATAGTTTTTTAGTGTATTCCTTAGGATTTTCTATATACATGATCATGTCATCTGCAAACAGAGTTTTACTTCTTCCTTTCCAATCTGGATGCCTTTCATTTCTTTTTCTTTCCTAACTGCCCTGGCTAAAACCTCCAGTACAACGTCGAATAAAAAAGGTGAGAGCAGACATCCTTGTCTTGTTCCTGATTTTAGGGGTAAAGCATCCAGTCTTATACCAGTAAGTATGATGCCAGCTGTGGGATTTTCATAGATGTCTTTTTTTAGGTTAAGGAAGTTCCTTTCTATTCCTAGTTTGTTGAATGTTTTTATCACAAATAGGTGTTGGATTTTGCCAAATGCTTTCTGTCTATTGAGATGATCATGTATTTTTTTGTCCTTTGATTTTTGGATGTTAAACTAACCTTGCATTTCTGGGATATGTTGCTGGGATTTGGTTTGTTAGTATATTGTTGAGAATTTTTTGCATCTATATTCATAAAAGATATTGGTCTGTAGTTTTCTTTTCTTGTGATGTCTTTGTTTAGTTTTGGTATCAGGATAATACTGGCCTCATAGAATGAGTTGAGAAGTGTTTGAATCATTCTTATCAGCATTTAAACCTGTTCTAGCATCTCCCATCTTGACCCCAGGTCTCCCTCCAACCTCTGCTCCACATCTGCTCCCTTTATAGCAAAATTTCTCCCAAGAGGTGTCTACGCACTACAATTCCTTTCTCACTCTCTCCAACCTGGCTGCTCCTCCAACCACTCACTGAAATCTCTCTTGTAAAGGCCTCTGTGTTCTACATCTTATAAAGACTATGGTTACTTCTCAAGATTCCATCTTGGTCAATTTCTCAGAAGCACCTGGCGCAGGTGACCCAGCTTCCTGCCTTTTTCTCAGCAATCAGACATTCTCTTGGTTTTCTTCCTAGCGCTAGGCCTCTGTTTCTCAGACAATCAGCAAGATACATTTCCTTCTCTAAAGTTTGCAATGTTCTTAAGTGCTTGAATATGCAGATGACTCACCTGGGATCTTATTAAAGTGCAAATTCTGATTCAGCACATCTGGGCTGGGGCCACAGACTCTGCACATCTAAGACACTCCTGGATGAGGCTGATACTGCTGGTCTGGGGACCACACTTTGTGTAAGGAGACTGCAAAGAATTCCACACTGTGGATTTGTCTGTTTGCTTCCCTGCAGTGTCATTTAACTTGTTCCTCTCTTCTCTGTATTTCCTGTATACAGCTCTGGTGGTTCTCAAACTTTGTTCATATTGGAATCTTTTAGGGAGCTTTAAAAAATTCCTATGCCAAACAACCTAGGTGCCCATCAACGGACGAATGGATAAACAAATTATGGTATATCCACACAACGGAATACTACGCAACGATAAAGAACAATGATGAAGCCGTGAAACATAACATGGAGGATCTGGAGGTCATTATGCTGAGTGAATTTAGTCAGCCACAGAAGGGCAAATATTGTATAAGACCACTATTATAAGAACTCAAGAAAAGGTTTATACACAGAAGAAAACATTCTTTGATGGTTACGAGGGTGGGGAGGGAGGGTGAAGGTTATTTACTAGCCAGATAGTAGAAAAGAATTATCTTTGGTGAAGGGAAGGACAGCACACACTACAGCGGAAGTCAGCACAACGAGACTAAACCAAAGCTAAGAAGTTTCCTGAATACAATCAAACACTTTGAGGGATAGAGTAGCCGGGCTAGGGGTCTGGGGACCATGCTTTCAGGGGACATCTAGGTCAACTGGTATAACAAAGCTTATTAAGAAAATGTTCTGCATCCTACTTTGGTGAGTGGCGTCTGGGGTCTTAAAAGCTTGCAAGCGGCCATC